GCAGAGGCATGAAACAACGTCTATTCATTTATTCGTTCAACAAATATTGATAAAATACCTCCTATGTGCTTGGCACAGTTTTAAATACTGAGATACATGCCTGTCATGAGATTGACAAGGGCTCCTGCTTTCACTGAGCTAACATTCTAACAGAGGAGACTCACAATAAACCAGCAGTCACATGCAGAAACCCAAGCCCTAGGAAGAAAACACAGCAGGTAAGAAGGCTTGAGGGACCTGGGGGCGGGTGGGCCTGACCGGGTGCAGGGAGCAGAAATGTGGCCAGAGCAGGAAGGAAACACCACGCCCCTCCCCAGCTCTCTATGGGGGAGGATTTCCCTTAAGGCCCTCTGACCTGTTGCTCCAACCTCTTCTTCCCCAAGGGTGTGGAATGAGCAACCTGGCTAGGGCTAAAGCCACTGCAGCCTACGCCCCTCTCCTTGGATGGGGTTAATCTATAAAACTTGGAGCCGGATTAGCAGGGATTTGGGCCTTTTTCTCCTTCCCTGTTCACACAGACAGGTGCCTGTAGACTCAGAACTTCGCTGCAGGTGGAGTGCAACCAAACTGAGACTGGGGAACAGGCAGGTGGCAAGTTAGCTCACTGCCCTTGGCCACAGAGCTGCGTTCCGGCCCCCATCGGCCTCAGCACTCTTGTCTTATTTCCCAGGGGGCTCAGAACTTGGGATGGGAAGAGAACTCTTGTAAGATAAAAGTTTTCATAAGATAAAAACCTTCCCTCCCTGAAACAGACCTCAAAACCAAATTAGGAATCACTGTCCTAAACTATCAAACCTAACCTATCTGTCATCTTAATGAAAAAATCCCTCAAATCTCTTACTTAATTGTCCAAAAATATTGCTAGACTGAGAAGCCTGGTCCCAAAGACAAATTCAATACAGCGAGTACTGGGAGCGTGGCGGGGAAAAGGATTAGTTTGGCACCAGTAGAAATCCTCGGGGTATATGCTGTGGTCATCAGCCTGGAAGAGGAAGATGAGGAAATGTGAAGTCTTTAGCTGTTCTTACCTTATGACTTTATATCTACGTGTTTTAAAAACCACATTAGGAAAATAATTTCTTGAATTTATCTTTTCTCTGAAGAACTGAACAACATCTTCAATATATTTACACACATGCCTCACAATTTCCTTGGGAGATAGAGTGAGAATATAATGTTGCCATGAACGATTATTGATGTCATGGTTACTATCCATGAAGCTCAGTTCTGAGCATTAGAGACTTTTTTTTTTTTAAAGAAGATAAAGAGGATACATGGTTCCTAGCCTTGAAGGGCTTAGCCTCTACCTAGAAACCCACTCAGGCCCCCAAAGCAATATATATGTATCAAAAAAAAAAAAAAAAAAAAAAAGAAAAATACAAGAGCAGTGTCTAATGAATGGCAAAGATTTTTTTAAATGCTTCAGGAGTTCAGAGGGAAAAAAAAAAAGCCTCTGTTGAAATTAAGAGTTCTTACAATGCATTCATCAAGGATTATATAGATGAGAAAACACTAGAGAAATGTGAAACCTCCAAACCACACATCAGCAGAGAATCAACAGTTAGAAACTGCCTGTCCAGTAAGAGCTCCCAGAAGATGAGAAATGGGTGTTGCATTTCTTTGTGCAGTCCTGCGGGGCCTGGCCTGGCAGGCTCCACGGGGAGGTGTCCCCTCAATGTGCAGCATATTAAAGCAGCACTGTGTTTCCCTGGATTTCACACAGCTCCATGTCACTACCCACACATTTCAGCCTGGAGCAGCTGACCACAGTGCCCAGGAAGCACCCTCCCCACCAGGCCCTTTTGACAGAGCCTCTGTGCCGCAGGCAAGATGGAAAGCACAGACTCTCCACCTCCTTTCAATTGCTCAGGCAGGGAAGGGCTGCCAGCCCTGCTGACCCATTCAGAGGCCTGTGGAAGGTTCCTACAGGCATTGCCTTCTCTCTCATCAAGTTTCAAGCTGGACCGGGACGGGAGGCAAGTGTCAATAGCAGGGGTAAACAGTAGCAATTACGAAGACCACATTCTCCGCATATCACACGCCCCAGGAAGGGAAAGGCAAGAGAGGATAAGGTGGGAAACGAAAGAGGGTATCAGGGCTGCCCTCATCCTGCCCAGGATACACTGGCTGTCACAGTCATTCTATGTTTTCTGGCTGCACAGTCATGTTGCTATGGAACCAGTGCATGTCACTGCCACCTGGCCTCGAGCAAATACAATCGCAGTGCTGGCAAGAGCATTTCCCTGGATTTTCCTTAAAGAGATACCACTGATGGTGAGTGCTGTTTGAGCTTAGAAACAACAGCAGCATTGTTCCCAAGACACAGCCTCACTGCATACTATGAAACCAAACCCAGAAATTCATGTTTTACAAGGTGTATGTTCACGTGGGGACCAGCTTCTGAGCTTATTTATTTATTTATTTTTGAGACAGAGGTTCATTCTTGTTGCCCAGCCTGGAGTGCAATGGCGCGATCTCGGCTCACCGCAACCTCTGCCTCCTGGGTTCAAGCAATTCTCCTGCCTCCGCCTCCCGAGTAACTGGGATTACAGGCACGCATCACCACACCTGGCTCATTTTTTGTTCTTTTAGCAGATACAGTGTTTCTCAATGTTGGTCATGATGGCCTCGAACTCCTGACCTCAGGTGATCTGCCCGCCTTGGCCTCCCAGTGTTGGGATTACAGGTGTGAGCCACTGCGCCCAGCCTCTGAGCTGCTTTTTAGGAAAAAATACTCATGGCTTCTATCTATGTTTAGTTTTTTCTTATTTGGGAACAGCAAATGGCTTGTAATATTTTGCATAATAATTTAATGTCCTCTTGAACGTCAACATGAACTGCTCATGACCTCATCAGGAAACCAAAGTAGCCACAAGCGGTCTCCACGGGCTCAGACAGTCCTTCTTTCATCCATTTCATCCTTCAGATCCTTCTCTACCAGTTTATTCTATACCCAAACGATCCTATGATGTAGGCTTGGAAATGGACATTTCTTCACTTTCCGGAGGCCCTTAAATGCTCCCTTCTTTTAGTCTAACTAATCTCTTGATTCTACAGAGAACTGTAGGTTCCCCAGACAGCAACAGGTGTCAGTGAGCCACAGTGTACCGTGGTGTGCTCTGAGAATAAACCTTTTGGACTTTTCTCATGAGACAGGGAAATGGACACATTCATACTTCTGATGAATGCACACTCGTGTAGACCCAGGTCTGCGGACAGGAGAGATCAGTACTAGGATAATTCAGCAGATGATCCCTCACGAATCAGCAATCCGTGTTCTACACTCCATTCAGTACATTCGTAGAAACCAATTTTATGTCTGTGTCTGATCCAGTTCCTTAATAATAACTCTAGTTAGGGAAAAAGAAAAAGTGATTATGTTGACAAGTTGGATAAAATCATAAACACAAGCTCTTAAAGCCACGCTTTGACCACTCCCTAGGTGAGATGAAATGTTTTGGAAATAAGTGCACTTAGCTCACCAACCTTTGAAATGGACACAGTTCAAAGCAAGATTTTGCCTAGGACACACACATCCACACACACACACACACACACAAAGTCTACCTTCTGGGATTCTGAGAATCATGTTCTTACCTTCTCTCCATCTTATCACACAATTGCACTCTTATACCAACATAACTTTAAAAGAAAAGAATAAATGTTTCTCAACAGGCTCAGTGACTGCAGGTCAAATTTGTACTTCAGTATAGGAACTCTGTTAGCTGTTCTTCCACAGGTGCAGGCAGCAGTGAGTCAAGTGTGTGGGTCTGCGGCTGGACCGCACACACCTGCGGGTGCACTGTGACTTGTGGCTGCAGAGCAGACGTACCATCAAGTCTCAGCCCGTGACAATGTGGTGTTGCAGATGCAGTGGCTCAGAAAGTACGCAAAGGAAAATAAGCTTTCTCAGATGACATCCACAACAGAAGCTTTCTGGGCACACTCGCTCTGCCAGCTTCTTTACTTAGTAGCCAACGATGATTATGAGAAAGTCAAAAAGTTGATCAACATCACTCCTGACCACTGCCTTAGGGGTGATCATTATTAGTGTACCAAGACCACATTAAGTTGAACTACCTATAACTCTATACCCTCAGAAAGAATCTGCAGATTCCAGCTGGATGCAGTGTAATCGAGCACTTCGGGAAGCTGAGGTGGGCGGATCACCTGAGGTCAGGAGTTTGAGACCAGCTTGGCCAACATAGTGAAACCCTGTCTCTACTAAAAACACAACAACGTTTAACCAGGCACAGCGGCAAGAGCCTGTAATCCCAGCTACTTGGGAAGCTGAGGCAGGAGAACTGCTGGTACCCAGGAGGTGGAGGTTACAGTGAGCAGAGACTGGGCCACTGCACTCCAGCTTGGGCAACAAGAGTGAAACTTTGTCTCAAAAAAAAAAACAAAACAAAACAAAACAAAAAAAAAACGATCTGCAGATTCCAAAACCAGCCTTGTACAGGGCAAACATCATGCAGCTAAGAGCCGAACACACCTCTGTCATAATCCTAGCTCTGCTGCTCTCCACGAAGCCCCACAAAGGTGATGTGGTGATGTGAAGAGCTTTTGCCAGACAAGCTCTCAGGTCTCATCTGGTGCTCACATCCTATTATTCTTGGTCATGGTATTCATGAGTCAGCACAGTCACTTAAAGAAACTGGATGGTTCCCCCTTGCCCACAGCTGTATTTCTGTGCACCAGTTGCTGAGGGAAAGAAACTTCCTCTCTGTGAGCTGGACAAGGTAGCGGCAATGATGATGACCTCGCAAGAGGCAAAAGCATGTGAACAGCAAAAAGAAACAGCAGAAAAATCTACGAGGGAAACCAACCTCTCCAAAGGACCCAGTGATGAGGAGAGTCAAATAGGAAAAATACCTTGGTTCCAAGCAGGAGAGAAGTCGAGAATGCATGCTGTCACACATTTTTTCCTGGAGCATCATAGTAACTGGATAACATATTGATGTGGGTAAAAATACAGGAATGATTAAAGGATCACTCACCCTATGAAAACAGCAGGTCGATTTCTTTTCACGAAGAAAACGGTCTAATATCTTTGGAAAACTGGAAGAGAAAAAAAGATTTTTTAAAAGAATTAATAACTTCATTCTCTAAATCAGTGCAAATGAGCAGGCCTAGAGATAAGAAATTCTAGCCCCAGCACTTGGGGGTGCACAATAAACGTCTGAAGAACAATAGATGCGTGATTATTTGGCTGACTATATGAATTTTAAAAGCAGAGCTTTGAACAATCAATACATGGAGAAGAATCACAGGCATGACATCTTATAATGCACAAGAAATCACTTTTTTAGGTGCGTTTTTAAAAATGTCATGTCCTCCATGCCCACCATGATGCTTACTGAAGAAGTCTTTTTATTTTTGTATTTTTTTTTTAAAGTAATGATTTTGTAGAGATGGGGGATCTCACTATGTTGCCCAAGCTGGTCTTGAACTCTGGTCTCAAGCGCTCCTTTCACCTCGGCCTCCTAAAGTGTTGAGATTTGAGCCACTGTACCCAGCCTTGTTTTGTTTTTTGGGGACAGGGTCTTGCTTTGTCACCCAGGTTTGTCGTAGACCCGTGCCCATTTTATAGTTGGAAACCCTGAGGCCCAGGGGACTGAGTCACTTGCTCACCTGCACACAGTTGTGAGTGGCAGAGCTCAGCTCAGACCCTGGGATCCTCCCTCCAAAGTCCCTCTCATGGGGAAATTCAGCGACCGTGGGTGGTCATTGTAGCTCACTGCAGCCTCCAACTCCTACACTCAAGCCATCCTCCAGGACTACAGGCGTGTGCCACCATGCCTGGATTAAAATGTTGTGGTTTTTTTCTTTCTTTTGCAGAGACGGAGTCTTGCTCCATTGCCCAGGCTGTGCAGAAGTCTTAATAAATAACCAAAGTACCTCATTCCTGCACTTCGCTTTTTCCCAAAATGATCCACCCACAGCTCCCCTCCTCACAGTGATCTGTATGTAATTAGGCTCATGCGGGAATGTGGACTTGGCAGAGGGGCGCTGGAGGTCACATATCAGGCTGACTGAGTAATCCCGTGAGGAAGCCACTGTGTCTGAGATACTGACTAACCAAACAAAGCATGGGAAAGAATGAAGATGATGTGAACGCTGGACAGAGGAAGCCTGAAAGACAAAGGAGATAAGACAGCGACGACAGCAGACAATTTAATCTGCACCGCACAAGGAACTAAGTTCAAGATCCAACTCAAAAAGAATTTCTAGATACTATTTTAGAGACACCTTTGCAGGTTTAGGAGAGGCTGGGAGGCAACGCTATTCCAGCTCCTGATGTTCTGCAGGGAAGTTTCACAGGATCCCAGAACCTTTGGGATTCATTCTGCGAGCTGTGGAAGGCCACAGCTTTCCCGCCGTTTTCCTGAGGATGTGGACTGCATGTGGTCACCAGAACAGGATGGCGCTTCCTTAGGATGGCCTACCGGAATGCAGGAAAATTCCCAGACTCAGTTTCTCAGAATCTGAAGGGCGCGGCTCCAAGTCCCGGAGACTCGCAGCCCACAAGTGTTTAACCTGACACTATGCAGTCAGACTATCCTAGGCCAAGTGGGGTTACAAAGACAAAGGTTATGCTCTAATTGAAAAACCCGCCAGAATACCATGCCAACACTGGAAACAGTAGATACTGCAAAACTTCTAGGTACCTTCTTCGTTTTAAAGCAACACTTTATAATCCACTCACACACACTGACCTTTTCATCCTAACGGCAGACGAGATGTCTACAGTATGAATTCTTAAGACCACAAAAACTGATTTCCGAGTCAGATCTCAGTCTGAGCCCCAGCTCAGTCAGAGAGAAGCTGTGTAGTTCCAGTTACTTAAACTCACTGAACACTTTCCTCACGTGCATCATGGCAATAACAATACCAACTTCATAGAATGTTTCTAGTTTTTAGTGCGGCGCTTGGCACGAGGAAGAGAATGAATAAAACAAAAAAGCATTATCAACATTTGGCACAGCATTTTCACATATCTGTAACAATAGAGGAAAGACACAGGAGAGAGACTTTGATGACTTAAAGATTTACCAGAATGTGACTGGGCATGGTGGCTCACTCCTATAATCCCAGCTCTTTGGGAGGCTGAGGCGGGTGGATCACCTGAGGTCAGGAGTTTCAGACCAGCCTGGCCAATATGGTGAAACCTCATCTCTACTAAAGTTATAAAATTAGCCAGGTGTGGTAGTGTGTGCCTGTAATCGCAGCACTCAAGAGATTGAGGCAGGAGAATCGCTTGAATCCAGGAAGCGGAGGTTGCAGTGAGCCAAGATTGCAACCCTGCACTCCAGCCTACGCAACAAGACCGAAACTCAATCTAAAAACAAAATTATCAGAATGTGAGTAGCTGCACCGTATTCCCTTTTCCTCATCCCTCACAAGTAGATGAGACAAGTTACCATATGATCCAGAAATCCTACTGCTGAGTGTATATCTATCTATCTATCTATCTATCTATCTATCTATCTACACACACAAGAGAATGGAAATCAGCATATTGAGGACAAATCTGCACCTCTTATGTTTGTTGCAGCACTGTTTACAACAGCTAAGATTTGGAAGCAACCTAAGTGTGTACCAACAAAGCAACGAAGTGTGTGGTATATACACACAAAGGAATATTACTCAGCCATAAAACAGAATGAGACCGTCATTTGCAACAACATGGACGCAACGGGAGAGACTTACGTTAATGAAAAAAGCCAGGCAGAGAACAACAAACTTAGCATGTTCTCAGTTATTTGTGGGATCTAAAAGTCAAAACTGCTGAACTCATGAACACAGGGAGTATGAGGATGGCTACCAAGGCTGGGAAGGGTAGAACGGGCTGGAGGGGAGGTGGGGATGGATGGTTAATGAGTACCAAAAAGTGGTTAGAGGCTGGGCATGGTGGCTCACACCTGTAATCCCAGCACTTTGGGAGGCCAAGGTGGGCAGACCATGAGGTCAGGAGACGGAGGCCAACATAGTGAAACCTTATCTTTACTAAAAATACAAAAAATTAGCTGGGTGTGGTGGCACATACCTGTAATATCAGCTACTTGGGAGGCTAAGGGAGGAGAATTGCTTGAACCTGGGAGGGGGAGATGGTAGTGAGCCGAGATCGTGCCACTGCACTCCAGCCTAGCAACAGAGCAAGACTCCGTCTCATAATAATAATAATAATAATAATAAAAGTAGTTAGAAAGAATGACTAAGATCTACTGTTTAATAGCACAACAGGGTGACTGTAGTCAATAACTGTACATTTTAAAATAAAGAGTATCATTGGATTGTCTGCAATGTAATGAATAATTGCTTGAGGGGATGGATACTCCATTCTTCATGTGTTTATTTCACATTACATTACTGCATCAAAACATCTCATGTACTCCATACATATACACACCTACTATGGACCTGCAAAAATTTTAAAAATTAAAAAATAAATAAAAATATTACAGGACTATAGAGTCAAAAAAAGTGGAAGAGACAAATGAGAACAAAACAAAACTGTTTATTGTATAATAATTCGATGAATAGAAAAACCCAAGTTATACAAATCTGCAAAATTCTCACTAGTAATCATTATTAACATTCTGGTTAAATGACCCCAGACTCTCTCCTATGCCCAGGCATACAGAGTACATCATACACATACTTATAGAAATAAATCTCTCTCTCTCTCTCTCTCTCTCTATCTATCTATATATACATATAATCTATTTATGATGTACTATGATAGTATTCATAGTATTTTGCTGTCTGATTTTTTGCTTATTAATTATATCAAAAACCTCTTTTAGCATCAGTAGATGCATGGACATCATAATTTTGAGGACTGCAAGAGTACTGCATTGAAGGAATTACCCAACAAATAGGTATTTGTTAAATCTACAGAATCTCCCAAGTGTCCCACATTTATAAGAAATGACTACATATTGTGGTAGCATGTGGTTCTTTTTCTCCCACATTTTTCAAGATTGAGAAAGGCAGCCTGAATAAATATATAAAGTCTTAAAACTGTTTTGGTTTGAGTGGGTGTGGCATAGAAGAACACAAACTAACACATACACCGCAGGGAACAGAACCACACTTTAGAACATTCAGTGGGTATCCAATACATCGAAAAAGGACCCAGTTTTAAAGAAGAGGGACAATGGGCGAATAGAGACATCTAAATCAAGTACCATATCATTAAGTCTGAAGTCAACCAAATGTTCTTATTTTCAGCCCAATCATGGCAGAGTCACTTAATGATACAGAGAAAAGTGAACTGCAAACTGTATGATCTTGAGTGAACCTAGGAATTAAATCACATTATTGGAGTTGAAAACCTAAAAAAAAAAAATCAGGACTTACCATATTTCTTTAGAAGGTATCACAAGTTAAAATGTTTGCTTCATATCAATATTTCTAATTTAAGTTTCTTCTCAAAGAGTATGGTGGGTTTGGTAAGAATATATGTGATGATTTGCTGAAGTCACATGATGCACCTTGCCCTCAATTAAGGGTGCCATAACTCCACAAGCAACCAGTGACACTCCAGGAAAATCCTATATTTGAGGGGAGGCTGGGGAAGTGAGCATATCCCCGCAATGGGCAGAGTGTGTGGAAATCATATTTCCTCCAGCCATGAATGTAGATAACCTTTTTTTTTTTTTTTTTTTTTTGAAATGGAGTCTCGCATTGTTACCCAGGCTGGAGTGCCGTGGCGTGATCTCGGCTCACTGCAATCTCCGCCTCCTGGGTTCAAGCCGTTCTCCTGCCTCAGCCTCTCGAGTAGAAGCTGGGACTACAGGTATGTGCCACCATGCCTAGCTAATTTTTTTTTTTTTGTATTTTTAGTAGAGACAGGGTTTCACCATGTTGGCCAGGATGGTGTCGATCTCCTGACCTCATGATCCACCCACCTCAGCCTCCCAAAGTGCTGGGATTACAGGCGTGATACAGTCAACCCTTTCTAAGTATCGAGCGCTGTTCCATGAAGCAGGCAGGAGATGGGGCTGGCAGAGAGCAGTAGAGGGAAAAAGAACACACCATCGCAGCAAAGAAAT